TTATTATTATTATTATTATTATTATTATTATTATTATTATTATTATTATTATTATTACCGTTGGCACGTGTTTTTCAATAGAGAGATAAAGATTCACGTTTACGCCAAACGGCAAACGTGAATTTGTAGCACGTGACCAAGTTTCCCCCTTATTTTTCGTTTACTGTTTATTGCTTCTACAAAAAAATAAGTAGTTTTATGCCAGTTTTACCAATAAGCATCGTTCTGGACTGTTTCTATCTCCTTATTTTCCATTCTGAGAAATTCTCAACTGACGTTTGCTGTTTGCCGTTTGCTGTAAACGTGAATCTTAATCTCTCTGTTTGCTTACATTCGCGCTCTTTTCTGCTTCTCGCTGATGGGTGGGAATCTAACAGCTCAGTCGATATGGAGCCACGGGGGAATTGGAGATGGAATTCAAATTCTAGAGCCGGGGGGGAGGCGAAGCTTTATAGGTATGTGCCACCCCATCGGGTAGGGTTTTGTTCTGAAAACCGGTATAAACCTTACCCATTTAGGTCTGGAATCGGGTATCGTTTTTGAGGGAACTACGGGAGTGTATGAAAGTATTCATCTCGTTTCAATTCCAAATGAGTAAGAAAGAAAGACAAATATGCGAATTCGAAATGGCTTTGAAGAATTCTTTTTTTTTTGCGCTCTAATCTACGTAATGATAACGTAATTTCTGCTTAAAGGTCAGGTCTGCATAAACAGATATGGATTTTAGAGGTCTGGTCTGAAAACGGGAGGGGAAAATTACATTTTTTGGTCTGAAATAGGGTCAGGATTTGAAGAACCGGGCGGCACACCCCCACCAAGTATTCACAGGAGTACCCCCCTTGCCAAGCTTTCCTTCCTTTTCCTGCCCCGCCACCAGAGCGCCCCGGACAGCTTGCTCGCAGGCTAAGGTTCAGGGATGGATAAAACATTTTCTTTTACTCCCCTAAGCCTCGGGAGCCAACGAAGAATTTAATATATCCGCGAAGTTATTTATCAATACATGTACTTCGTTTCTCATACGATACTTCTTTGAAGTAAAGACGTGATTCAAATAAACCAAGTTTTCGTTTCAAAGACATTTCAAGTACGAGGTTTGAGTTTGAGTTTGAGTTTGCGTTTTTAAAAGAATCAAGTTTTATTAAGGGTATAAAAGTTAGCTTCATCGTAAAGATTTTTATTCATAAACAAAGCCTATTTTAAAAAGCCTCTTAGCAACCACGAGACCCGACCAAGCAAACGTGGCAGCGTTCACCTGACCATACCTTACCCTTCCAATATTTGTACACGTTGAAGCCATACTCGATAAAATAAATAAAAATATATACTAGAATAAAGAACGGGAACACATGAATTGGTAATTTTCGAAATATTTTATCCTGGAAATAATAGAGATCAATAGAGTGTTATCCGATTCAGAGGCAGTTAGCAGGGATTATCGTGCATTTCAAGGGGAACTTGAGCGAGCACCCTGAAAGCAGAATATCTCTACATTAGAATTGCAATCTCTGTGGCGAGGGTATTTTCACATGTATGACCTCTCGGACTTCAGATGACTTGACCTATACACCTTGTTTCAGCGATGGCTGCCGGCACAGCTCTGAGAGGCGGCTACGGTATTCGAAGGCTATTACGAGTTTATTAAGTATGCGTTTAACAAATAATAAATTCAACGGCGACAGTGTCAGGTCGCGCTTTTGAAACATTCCGTGTACATCAGCAAATTTTCACACCTTTCTTCCGGAGCTAAATAATACCGATGATCTGTTAAAATAGTCTGCTAGATATTTTAGCATTAATGTGATGAATGACTTTGCACTGAGTGCGCCGTGTTAGTTCAGAGTTCAGTGCCATCATCCGGAGCTTAAAAGAATAGAATTTAAGAAGGACGAGTTTCAAATGAATTCAAGTCGGAGATGAAGTTAAGTGTCTTGCCTCGACGCCGCATTTTCAGCTCTTTCGTGTAAACGAATATTTGGCCACCATAATTCTTTTTTTTTTCACCACGATTGGTCTGTGTACAGCGAGAGATTTTACTTTGTATGCATCGATCCCTCCTGTTACGGCTAAATTTAATTCACATCGATGGAGAACGAAAGGCTACATCATTTCTTTTAGGATGATAAATTAGAAAGTTATATACCTTTTTTGGTAAGTTCTTTGGACAGCACAGTCTGGAACTCGGAGGCTTATCTGTCATAACCCTTGTGTTTCTGGCCGTTACTGTACATGTGCCTCGATGAGTTTGACTAATAGTCGCGGGTCGCGGGTCTAAAGTCTCGGTCGCGGGTCCAATGTCGCGGTCGCGGGTCCAAAGTCGCGGTCGCAGGTCCAATGTCGCGGCAGGGGAAAATGATTTGGAGTTCGAGGTAACTGAGTGAAAACGAGTGATATGAAAAAAATATAAAGGGAAAAAAATCGTTTTTATGCATGATACTCTACGGTAGCCAATTTACAGGTTACGGATGTTAGAGTCAACAAAATAATGTCTCAAGAAAAGACCTAAAAGAAAAAGCTGGCCGACTTTTGTGTTCACCGCAAGTTCATTTTGTTTTCTTCCTATCGGGCCCAGTTGCATAACAGTATATGATAAAAAATGTTACCATGAGTTACCATTGTTTTCTTCTTGTCTATGAATTGCTCACAAATGCTTAGGGGTGCATTCACTGAAAAATGTGCGATACACTTCATAGACTATAAATTATAAAAGTTACAACAACTTAAAACCTTTTTTAAAAAAGGCTAACTCGGGCTCGAAAAGCTACGAGTCTGTCGGTAGAAGAAACGAGAACTGTTTCAATTTTCACAAATGTTTTCGGCAAAAATAAAGAAAACGCTTGTTGAAAAACGTCCTGGTCCTCGAACTCTTCCATAAAAGAAAGTGCTTAAATTTTCACGAAATGCTATCCAAGAAAACACACCTTTAGCTTGAAGCAGAAGAGGATCGAAATACACACTCCGTAATTGGTTACGTTCAGAAGCCAATAGGAAAACAAGAATTTCGATCCGCCACGTGGGTATTTATGTTCAAGTTCAAAGCTCAATAGACAGAACGGCTGTACCGTTCTCGCCACAACAAAGTACAACTAAAATTGCTCTTGCAAAAGCAACTAAGCACAA